CACCGCTTGGTGTATGGTTTGTCAGTCAGTCAGTCGGAGACGAGGTCAGTGCAAACGGGGGTAAGCCAGCGCGGCGGATCTTGCAGGATCCTGCAGAACCAGGGGTCATCGGCCCTGGTCAGCGTGCAGGATCCTGCAGGATCTCGCAGAGCCCGCCCGACCCAGGTTTGCAGATGTGGTGCGCTCTCCTCTTCTCTCTCCTCCCTTCCTCTCCTCCCTCCAGCCGCCCCCTCCGTGGCTTCCCGCTGGCCGTCTGGGCGCTCCTGCCCACGATCCAGGCCTCCCGAACTTTGGGCCCGAGCTGGCGGGGTCGGAGGGCTCGGGCGCACCGCATCGCCGATGCATCGGCGATGCTGTTCGAGTTGGAGCCCGGGTGTCTCCACGCCGAAGCTCGGCGGTGAGCGAGGGGGGGAAGTGAGAGGAGAAGGCCTTCTCAGAAGGCTCGGAAGTCTCCCGGCTTTCTGAGATGTTTTCTAAGCCTTCCCCGAAGACGAACAATAATTCTCAGAAGGCGCGAGGGATTCTGAGAAGTCCCGCCGCCTTCTGAGGAGGCCTTCTCCTTCTCGTTTCCTCCCCTCGCTCGCCGCCGAGAAGTTGCCGAGGCATCGCCGACGAAGCCGAGGTGACTTGCAGACGCGGCGCGATCCTCCGGCCCGAGCCTGGAGGTCCCTGCTGCTGCCTCTCTGGCACCATGTGGGCCGCGGCGGCGGCCGGCACCGTCCCGGCAAGAGGCGCCGCTGCCGCAGTTGCAGCAGCAGGTGATATTCAGCGGCCTGGACCCGAGCCGCCCCCGGGGGGGTGGGGAGGGCGGCAGGGCTCAGTGCCTCGGCATCGCTCGGAGGTGTTTTCTTGGTGAGAGCCATCGAGGACCATCCTGGACCATCGAACAACAAAAAAATACGCACGCACGAAACCGACAACTGCACGGGAAATGGACGTCCGAGCGAGCGACGGAAAGGTACAGTGGAGGCCCACGCCAAGAAGCACCTTGCTTGCCTCCGGGGTGCCTTGGGTTTCTCGGGCTTCGTCTGGCAATGGAAAGCGTGCCGCTCCCACGCCAAAAATCGATGGACGTCCTGGGGTCTCAGGGTCGAGTTTCTTGTGGAAGGTTTCTTGTGGTTGGGCACCCACTGTAAGCCTAATCAATCCGATCCTTAACCCTAACGACAAAACGAATTCGTGAACTAACTACTCAGGTCCTTGGGTTTGAGGAATATCCCTCGACATCTGGGTGGTTTCGTTCGTTTGAGGCATCTGGAAAGATCCCCCATCCCTGAGATTCTTAGCCCTCCTAACCTAGGTCCCGTCCCAAACTGTCAGGGCTACTTCTATTGCTTAGCTGGGAGGGGGGGAGCTCGGGGGCGTCCAACAGGAGGTTGCGGACGGGGTGTGTGTGGATAGACATCACGGCCCGGGCCACGAAATGTCCCAAACCCCGTGATCCCCTCTTCATTCAAGACGAGCCCTCTGGCCCCCCTCGTTCGCGCACGTGACTCGGGCCATTCGCACTACTAACCCCACCCCTCTTGGCCCCCCTCCTTCGGCGCATCCGAGGAGTGAGTGAGCGGGGGGGTGAGAAGCCAGGCAGCCTTCAGTCGAGACTTCGTTCACTGGGTGGAGTCGCAGGTGGAGGAAGTTTGGGGAGGAGGGAACGGAGGAGCTGGAGAAGGAGGAGGAGGAGGCATAGGGCGACACGCTAGCAGAGGCAGAGGGCACTGAGCAGGTATGACAAGGTGGCGGAGGTGGTGGAGGAGGATGTGGCAGGGGATGATGGTGATGATGGTAATGATGTGGATGTTGATGTGGTGATGATGCTGATGGCGATCACGATGTTGGTGTAGTGCGGTGATGCTGATGATGCTGATGCTGATGCTGATGTTGATGATGATGCTGGTAACGCTGATAATAATGATGACGACGGTGACGGTGGTGATGACGATGACCATGACGCTGATGATGATAATGATGATGAGAAGGACGATGATGATAATGCAGATGTTGGTGATGTTGATGCAGATGATGATGCTGACGATGCTTATGATGATGATTATGATGACGACGATGATGATGATGCTGATGATGATGATGATGATGGTGTTGATGGTGTTGGTGGTGTGGGTGATGCCGATCATGGTGCTGATACGTATTATGGTTGTGGTGGTGGTGGTGGCGATGGTGATGATGCTTGTGATGAAGTGTGTTGTGACGGAGATGCTGGTGATGACGGTGGTGATGATGAGGCTAAGTGTGATGTTGATGATGATGATGGTAATGATAATGACGATGACGATGGCAATGATGACGATTCTGATGATGGTGATGTTGCTGTGGCTGCTGCTGCTGATGATGATGATAATGATGATGGTATTGATGATAAGGATGATGGTGATGTTGCTGATGATGATGGCGCTGATTGCGGTGGTGATGATGGCGATGATGACGATTTACGATGACGATGATCTTTTGATCATGATGATGAGGGTAAGGACGATAAGGAGGAGCAGACGGGCGAGGATGATGCTGGTGATGATGACGAGGAGGAGGTTGAGGATATGGAGCATGAGGATGATGCTGAGGACGAGGATGTTGATGATGATGATGCTGATGTAGAAACTTACGATGATGATGATAAGTATGATGATGATGATGATGCTGATGTTGATGATGATGATGATGATGATGGTGATGACGATGATGCTGATGATGACGAAGACGATGACGACGATGACGATGATGATAATGATGATGATGATGATGATGATGATGATGATGATGATGATGATGATGATGGCGGTGTGGTGGTGATGATGATGGTGATGACGATCTAGATGATGACTGTGATGATGATGACGAAGACACTGGTGATGATGTTGAGGACGACTTTCCATCTAAGCGAAGTTGAAGACGAAGCGGGAGCCGTCTACGACTCCATCATAGAACCACAAGCACCAACGCCAGAGAATTGGAAGCATACTGTCATCAAAGGCCTTCACAAGAGCGGCGACGCACGACTCCCCCAGAACTACCGCCCAGTAGCGACGATGCTGATTCTATATAAGTTCTTCTCTAGACTCTTGTACAAACGGCTCCTCCCCACGCTCGACGCTGAGCAGAGCAACGACCAGGCAGGATTCACACCAGGTCGGAGTACGGTATATTATCTTTTCATTGTTTCTATGATGACTATGATGCGAGCTCTGACGGAGCAGGCCGTTCCAAACAGCTACGTCAATCTGCTCGAAAAGGTATATCAGGATCGGACGGGTGCTGTGAAGACTGACGAGACAAACAAACCACTCAGCATACAAAGGGGAGTAGAGCAAGGCGATCCATTTTTTGTTGTTCAGATGTGTCACAAAGTCAATGCTGCGGAAACCAACAACAATCTGTGATAATCTCAACATGGGGGTACGACTCCAGCCAGGCGACCATAACTGGCTCAACAATTTACGCTTTGCCGATGAGCTCCTCCTCGTCGCAACGTCCTCATGTGATAGAGGAGCAATGATTGCAGACATCAGCGCAGAAGCAGAGAGCACGGGACTCGCCTTGCATCCTGACAAGACCAATGTCTTGCACAACGGTCATGGACATTCTCGTCGATGTGCCACCGCAGCAGATACATGCGAATGAGATGGTCATCGAGGTTCTACCGCCTTTCAGATCCTGCAGATATCTTGGGCGCAAGGTTCAGTTTTCGGATCCCCACGGCAATGAGCTCGACAAAGGGCTAACCACTGCTTGGAAGAAGTTCTTTTCCCTGAAGCACGAACTGTTGGGGAAATTTGTTTTTCGTTGAACGACAGACTGCGACTCTTCCGTGGATGTGCGACACCTGCAATATTTCTACGGGTGTGAAGCTTGGACACGAACTACAGCTTCTGAAAACCGCTTACAGTTAACTCAGCGACAGATGTTATGGATGATAATAAGGGGTAAAACGTCGCCGGCACCAGTACACCGACAACGACATACAACAACCCAGCGGCGACACAGACGGATTCAGGAACGACGCCGGAAACGACGCCAGCAACGACCCCAGCGATCATGGCATCGACACAATTTGCGGCGATACCGTGATTTTTGAAGATGCTGAAGACATTCTGGATCCTTGGGTGGATTGGATCGAGCGGGCGACCACCGAGGCACGCTTGCGGATGCAACAACACAACATCGAAGATTGGACAATTATACAAAAAGGAGACGGGAATTCCAGTGGGCACGGAAAGTCGTCTATGGATCAACTGGAAAGAAAATGCCGATCGACAGATGATTTACGTAAGTTGGTCATGGATTGTTGTGGGCATGTGGATTGGCCCCGTGGAGTGTTGTGGACACGTACGGTCAGCAGTGATACTGCCGGTCCTCCCCCCCACCTCCTCATTGTCTTCCCATGCAGTATCTCACACTCTTTCACGCGCGTGTACCTTAGCAGGCGCCTCGGTGCCCCCTCCGCCACGCCGTCATGGCGCCACGCGTGCGGAGCCGTAGCCGTAGCCTTTGAGGACGATGATGATGGTGAGTGGGGTAGCCGTAAAAACGACCTTCCCCACATAGGTCAGTTACACACGAAACGTATTCGTGAAGGTTCCATCTGAAGGATGCAACCTCCCAGCTCGCAAACCACAGTCATCATCTCATATCGTTTAAACATTCGGCGTGATCTAACCAGACTTCGCCGTGACTCTTGGGACCGAAGTCCAAATATTAGCGGGAAAGTCCCGCCTCCTCGCGATGTTGATACGTAGGGTGAGATATTCGGGACAATCCGGAAACAAAAAGGTGTCGTAAACTCGGCCACGAGGTCCCGCAGAGGGAGCAGGGCCGTCCCGTCTGCCGCCGCGTTTCCGTCGAAACTGCAGTTGCCAAGAAGATCCCGAGAAGCTTCTTGTCGGCCATTGAGACGACGATGCTGATTATGATGATGATGACGATGATGGTGATGGTAATGGTGGTGGTACTGTCCAACCTATGTTAAAGAAATGATGGCCCCCCTTTCCCTCCGGATCTCGACTGCCATTAATGCGCCGCCGACGAATCATTTGTTTAATTGTCCCCTCGGGAGATATCCGGCGGAGTCCGATGTATGTAGGTATGTGTATATATAAATGTATATACACACATTTACATACGTGGTGACAGGGCCGCTGGATCCCAGGGAGGCCCTTCGACGTGCCATGGGGGGCCCAGGGCTCGGGGGGCGCGCTGGGTTGCGCCAGGAGGCTGAAGACACCCCCAAAAAGCGCCAAGCGAGCTCCACGAGCGTTCCAGGATACCTCCAGGACGTCCCAAGAGCGCCTTAAGACGTCCAAGATGGTCTCAATATTGCGGTCGCTGGGACGTCCCCGGCGTTCTGAGTTGTTCCGATTTTTGCTTGTGTTCTACTTGCGCACAACAGCGTGGAGAATGTTTTTTTCCCAACCATCTTGTGGTGTTGGGTCCTGGTTTTGAAGAGACGGTGCCCCGCGTTCCCTCCTCCTCCCGCTGCCCCCTCCCTCCTGCCATCATCATCATCATTATCACCATCATCATCATCATCATCATCATCATCATCATCATCATCATCATCATCAACATCATCATCATCATCATCATCATCATCATCATCATCATCATCATCATCGTCATCATCATATCATCATCATCATCATCATCTCATCATCATCATCAATCATCATCATCATCATCATTCATCATCATCATCATCAATCATCCCCCCCCTCTTCCCTGCGTTTCACCCACCCAGTACAGCGCTTTCGTAGCCCCATAGGAGCTC